GGAAGTCTTTTACTCTTTGAAATCCTAGGTCTTCAGAGACCAACAGCTTTTCTTTTCTTTTTCAGACTTCAAAAAGTCTGGTGGTTGAAGCAGTTCTGAATTGAGATCTCATAATTCCCAAGGACATAGGTATGTTTTCCCTGACCTTTTTTTTTCTTTAATAAAGCAATATTCTTCACACTGTGGATAAAAATAATGGGTTTGTCTAAAAAGGGGGGGACTCATAAGTAGATATAAAAAAAGACTCCTGATTTCATTTTCCCCAAGCTTCCCTGCCACATCTCACAAGAATAGAGAAAGAAGTTTCCCATAGGTAATTCTGAGTCACCTTTTCTTAGACAGCTGTGGACATAGTGGTTGCTAGAGGGGATGTTGCTGCCAGCTGGTATTAATAAAATCCGGGAAACAGTATGATGGGCTTCCAGTTTAATAAAGAGATAGAAAAACTAGTTTGTATTGTGCAATCATCATAGACCAGACAGTTGGCTGGATATTTCTATATTTTATCTTACTTCAACCTCTCTTGGTAAAGGAAAACTGCTTTGCCTACAGTTCCAAAGAAACTAAGCATTAAAACTATTATTCTGATTTAACTGCTGGAATTCTAATTCTTTTTTTTTTTTTCTGTCCCCCTCCTCTTTTGACACCTCTTTGCCCCAAATGGATTATGTTCTTCTGTTTAGTTTCACAGAACTCTGTATTTTCTGCAGGCGGCACTTAGCCACAACCTATAATTTTATTTTTGCAGTAATCTAAGTGTAGAATTCTAATTCATGGGTGGCGCTGGTGGCTCAGTGGGCAGGACGCCGGCCCCATATACAGAGGGTGGTGGGTTTGAACCCAGCCCTGGCCAAACTGCAACAAAAAAATAGCCAGGTGTTGTGGTGGGTGCCTGTAGTCCCAGCTACTTGGGAGGCTGAGGCAAGAGAATTGCCTAAGTCCAAGAGCTGGAGGTTGCTGTGAGCTGTGACACCACAGCACTCTACCGAGGGTGACAAAGTGAGACTCTGTCTCTAAAAAAAAAGGAATTCTAATTCACTCACTCACTTAACTGAGTCCACTGTGTGCCTGCCACTAGTCTAGGTGGTGGATAACAACAGTAAGAAACCAAACAGACCTTGTCTCTTCCTTGAAGGAATTCAGTCCAGTATTCAGTTCACTGAGAGTCTTCTTTAGAACTCCCTGATGGGGTGTGATGGCTGGGGTGCTCCTTTCAGCCCCTTTAAAGCAATATAGATGGAAATTTTTATTCCTAGACCTTCTTGGTGGCTTAGACATGTCCTTTTCTTTTTTATGACAGTGATACTTCCTTCCATTTTACTGCTTTTTCCATTTTCAACACATTTCTGCTAGATATTTTTAAAATGTTTGTTCCCTTTCAAGACTCCTTCTGATATCTATTTTAGGCCCATGAAGAAAAGCGTGGTCTTTGCAGGATTGGGGTGGGAGGACGCGCGGTGGCAGCAGCGGCAGAACTTGGATTCGGGCCTGGCCCCTCTTCAGGGTTGGCGCTGGGTAAATGGGGCCTTTCTCTCTGCGCTGACTCGAGCTTTCTCCTTGACACTCCGGATCCAGACACACTTACGAGCGGCGACCGCGATGCATAATGGGAAGGGCTGCCCATCAAAAGAACGCAGAAAGCACCTTGAATATCAATTGCTGATAGATGATGGCGGCAGGCTGGGAGAGTTCAGTACGGGGAGTGTGTAATGGCTTTTAGAAATTGGCCTACAGCTTAAGTGAATATAGTTGGGTAGTCTGCACTAACCAAGGAAATTGATCCAATAAACGTTTGAGGAGGTGGTTTGGAAAAGAATTTGGAATCTATCCCACCTCAGCTGCATTTTCTCCTTAGAGTTTTTCCATCCTACCTTGTTTTGGGGGAAAAATGGTTGGTTTACAATATAGGATGGTTAATAGCTCCCTAGCCAAAGGACCACAGTACTTAGCAAGCAGTTATCTCTTCTTGGAGTTATATAAACTTCCGAAACACTGTTTTTTTATAAACTCTAAAATAGTGGTTCCCAGCCATGGGGAATATTTCCTCTTAGGGGACATTTGGCACTGTCTAGAGACATTTTTCATCGTCACTAATTGTGGTGGTGTTGTTGTTACTGTAATCCCATGGATAGAGTCCAGGGAAACTGCTAAATATAAAACTATAAAATGCACAGGACAGCATGCCTTCTCCCCACCCCTGCAGCAAGGAACTGTCCAGCCCATAATGTCAATAGTGCTGAGCTTGGAAAATCTGGCTTTGGAGCACTGCATAGGTTTTATAATTAAGCAGTTGTGTGACCTTGAGGGGCACCACATGCTTCAGTTTTCTAATACGTGAGATCTGGACTCTGCCTATCACAGATGGCAGGATACCGAGGGCACACTTACATCAAAAATCAAAAGAAAAGTCTGAAAGGCTGTAAATCTCTTATGGAAACACTGTTGGCCAGAAGGTTAATTGGTACATGACAGGACAGAAATCTACAAACAAGTTTTAGAAGGCTGAAAAATATAAAATTCTAGAACATTTATCCTAAGGGGGGAAGAAAGAGGCATAAGTAGACATCCACAAAGGTGCTCCCTGGAGTGCTGTTTACAAAGGTGGAAAGTGGGGGACGAGGGGGTGGTGTGTGACCCTAGTCTCGTCCAGTGGTGTTTCTCAGGCTGGCTGATCTGGAACTTGTTTAACCACCCCTCACACTGTGTGTTTTTTGTGTGTGTTTTGTGTGTGTGTGTGTGTGTGTAGTGGTCATCCAAACGGGACAGGCGGGCTGTCCCCTCTTTTTGTGTTATTGAAAAGAGCTCCTCACCAATCTGAGTGCTGTGCTTGCTCTCCCGGGTGAGCTAAGGACCAACAGGGCTGCAGAATTTTTCTCCTTCTAGTTCTGGTTTCTTCCTTTCCTTCTTCTCTTCCCTCTTCTGCGTTTGCTCCCACCCACCTGCCTCGCAGAGCGGGGAAAGCCTGTGAACACCCCAGCCTGAGAACACACAAGAGCAGCGACCCGTGCTCTCAAAGTTGGATGCACGCCTACCTCCAGGCCTGACCATCTCCCAACTCACTCTCACTTTTGAACGTTTTTCATTTGACAAGTCTAAGCTAATATTTTGGCATGAAGCATAGGCTCAGCTAGACAAGAAAACAACAGGCTGTTTGTTGCAGAATTAAACAGCATGAGAAATGGTTAAACACTTTGCTATCGATGTTCTGTTCAATTCACCAATAATTTATATATGTGTGAGTGGGGCCATGGTAGGTTGGGTGGGCTGGGGCGGGGGGATGAAGACAGTCACTGTCCTGGGGGCCTTAGAGCTGGTGAAGGAGCAGAGTGGTTACTTATCTACTTGTGTAATAATTAATCAAGACTCAACTGCTTTGACAGTGCAGAGAAAGGAGGACTTCGTTGCAATAAGGGTCAAAACCAAAGACACATAAGAAGTTTATAGTCCTATATTAAGTAGTTATACATATGTATTAATATGTATAAATAAGGACATAAATAAATGTATACTTATATGTATAAGTAAGGATGTATAAATAGACATATACTTACATGTATAAATAAGGATGTATATGTATAAATATTTAATATGTACTTACATTTATATACCAAGCACTTTTCAGTTGAACTATGGTGATAAATTCATAAGGACATCCAAAATTGTGATTAAGATCTCTGGATTTAGTATCAAACAGTCCAGGGTTTTAATTCTGCCTCCAGGACTTACCCAGTAATGTGGCTTTAGTGAACAATTGTTTAACTATTGTTATTATTATGTAATAATAGTAATAAACTGCCCTCCAGTCTCCATGTAAAAGATACTCAGTTTTAGGAGCAGATAGAAGCCAAAAAAAGCAGACTCTATATGAAATACATTGTCAATGGGAAATATCCCAAAGTAAGAAGGAAAAATACTCTGTGCTTTTTAAATCATGAAGCATTGTTTATAAAGGTAAAAAATTGAAAATTTGTCTCGGCGCCTGTGGCTCAAGCGGCTAAGGCACCAGCCACATACACCTAAGGTGGCGGGTTTGAATCCCCAGCCTGGGCCCGCCAAACAACAATGATGGCTGCAACCAAAAAAATGGCCAGGCATTGTGGCGGGCGCCCTGTAGTCCCAGCTACTTGGGAGGCTGAGGCAGGAGACTCGCTTGAGTCCAGGAGTTGGAGGTTGCTGTGAGCATGATGCCATGGCACTCTACCCAGGGATATAGCTTGAGGCTCTGTCTCAAAAAAAAAAAAGAAAAAGAAAAAAAAGAAAATTAGAGAGTGGAGTACTATCCTATATGTATTTTCTTCCTTTGTAAAATGGGAAAAATAATAGAATCAGCCCCAAAGTATTGCTAGGAGGTTTAAATACAAGTGATGCCCTTGGACCAGTGCTGGCCTAGGTAAACTGTTGTGCTTTCTATAATTAGTACTAGTTATATATGCGTAGAAAGGTTTAGGAAATCTTAGTGAGGATATTTTATTGGGAGAAGAATGGAGAAGGTAAAGAATGATGTATTTATTCTTACTGATTTTTTAAAAATTGAGTTGACATAATGTTTAAAACTATGCTGCCAGATATATCCACATGATAATTGGTGTGTATGTATAAAATAGTCTATAGTTACATAGATAATTTTAAATTGCACATGAACTTTATGGCCATCCTGTAAATATATGATATGAACATGTAGAATTCAAGCTCTGAGCATATAAATTTTAGATTCAGAAATATAAAGTAGTGAATTTTGATTCTGAGCCATACTAATTAGATTAGCTTGTATATTCAGCTTTCTGAGCCTTAACATTCTCATCTGTAAAATGGGCTGATAGCCTCTATCTTATAGGGTTAAATTCTATAATATAATGGAAGGGCATAGTGTGTCTTACACATAGTATATTCTCAATATATATCAGTTTTCTGGTTTTCTATCATCCCACCATCCTTCTTACACTTTATTTGAGTTTTGTTGACTCCTATTCTTTAATCACCAGGCTAAGTTCAAGTTGACTGCCATGAGGAATAGCACAGAAGTGACAGAGTTTATCCTCATGGGGTTAACAGATGACCCCAATCTCCAGGTTCCCCTCCTTTTAATATTTTTATTCATCTACCTCGTCACCCTGACTGGGAATGGGGGGATGATGGTGATCATCTACTCAGACTCCCATCTTCACACACCAATGTACTTCTTCCTCAGCAACCTCTCCTTTGTAGATCTGGGTTACTCATCAGCTGTGGCTCCCAAGATGGTGGCTGCACTGCAGTCAGGGAACAAAGTCATCTCCTACAATGGGTGTGCAGCTCAGTTCTTCTTCTTTGTGGGGTTTGCGACTGTGGAGTGCTACCTCCTGGCTTCCATGGCCTATGACCGCCATGCAGCTGTCTGCAGGCCTCTTCATTACACCACCACCATGACCACGGGGGTGTGTGCCTTCCTGACCCTCGGCTCCTATGTCTGCGGCTTCCTCAATGCCTCTATCCATGCAGCAGACACCTTCAGACTCTCCTTCTGTGGTTCCAATGAGATTAATCATTTTTTCTGTGACATCCCCCCACTTCTGGCTCTCTCATGCTCCGACACACGCATCAGCAAGTTGGTTGTCTTTTTTGTGGTGGGCTTCAATGTCTTTTTCACCCTCCTGGTCATCCTGATTTCTTACCTCTTCATATACATTGCCATTCAGAGGATGCGTTCTGCTGAAGGACGGAAGAAAGCTTTCTCCACCTGTGCTTCCCACCTCACCGCCGTGTCCATCTTCTACGGCACCATCATCTTCATGTACTTACAGCCAAACTCCAGCCAGTCCATGGACACTGACAAAATAGCGTCTGTGTTCTACACTGTGGTGATCCCCATGCTGAATCCCTTGATCTACAGCCTTAGGAACAAAGAAGTGAAAAGTGCTCTCTGGAAAACACTCAGCAAACTTTACCCCCAATCCTTAAGTGTGAAGAGGAAGTCAGCAAGTCACTAAGAGGTCAGCCATCTCTCAGACCTAAATGCTGTCATGACTTTTGAGGTTTTCAGGATTTAGTTTTTTCCTCCCCAAGAGTAGCGGTTACTTCTGCTATTAGGCAGATGTAAAAACCACTGCTTTGAAATGTCTTCCTCAGAAAGATAATCTTATATATGGTGTACTACAACATGAGACATTGAAACTTTTCTTGCATTAGTTTCTTGATGTGGTTTAAGGCAGAAGATAGACGTGTATAATTTAATGTGTTGAATTTTCCTCTCCTTTATTTTTGGTTAACATGAAGGTACATGCAATTAAGTTACCTTGTTTGCATACGGGGCTAAAGACCAGAATCCTGTCTTTATTTTTAATGGCAAGAAGTTTCCATTTGCTGTTTGGTATAAGGATCTCATCTACAATTATAGCATTTATTAACCAAATGCAGGGTGTTAGGTTTCTCATTTCTTTGTTCTCTGGGTTTGAAAGTTAAAGCTTCCAATGTAGACAAATGCTATTTCAATACTTTCAATAATGTGTCAGAGAAGGATGTCATTTAAAGGACAGGGAACTGGATCCGGATACAGGTGGCCCAGGATTAAATCTTTTCACTGCCCAACCCCCATTCCCACCCTTCCTCGCTGGTCACTCAGTGTTTTGCTAAACTGTTGAGGCTACTTTGGTAGGAAACAGTAAGGCAACTTACAGACAGAAGTATGGAAAAGTCTCAGTAGATAAATGGCTTCAACTTTGGCCCGAATAAATATACCTTTCTTTAGAGAGTCTGCTCTCTCTTCTACGCTTTTGGCCTCTGTCTAACATAATTACCAAAACATGAAGAAGATTTAAAGGAAAAAAAAGCCATTTTTCCCAAGGGCTATGAAAGGAGATATTTGTCTTCAGAATTAAATGCTTGCATTTCTCAGCACCCTCGAGTTTGGGGAATCTATTATGAATACATGTTAATAGCTTCCTGAGCCCTCTTCCCTCTTATTTTTTCAATAATTCAGCTCACCTCTGGGTCCCTGCTGCATTTTGATGTTCTGTAATTAGACGCTATAGGGATAAAACAGCCTGCCTGGAAATTTACTTTTAAGATAGGAATGGCACGGTGACGCACAGCGCGTCCTCCCTCGGGTCTTGTTTGATGTGCTAGATGGTGGGAGCGAATATGTGTGCGTGGGAAGGGCGTGGTGGTGATTAATTTTACTTCTCACATATCAACTGCTTGATGGTGTTTATAGCCACGATTAATCAAAGTCAACCACATAGCTCATGAGTTCTACATCTCCAAAAAGAAAAAAAAACAACAAATCGATCTTTATTTTAAATGCAAAACCCAGAAATCTTGGTCAGCTATATCCGGTGACTTAGAAAGGTCAAATTAGCTTTGAGATTATTAAATTCCATTATGCATAGGGCAGCCTCTGTCTGAGGTAAATCATAGCTAGGTCCTGTGGAGAAAGGAGCAAAGAGGGTGTTTTGGAACATGAGGTGAATCTGTGGGAAAAGCCCCTCTGGCATGGGGCTGCCAACACCTGGAAAGATCAGGGGCTTCAGGACCTGAGACCTGGACAAGCCGCACCTGCCTCTTGTACCTTCTCTTTCTCAGCAGTGACGCTCATCCAGCAACACAGCTGGGGAGACATGAGGGCTGGGAAAACATGAGACTTTCCCAGTGACTTTTAGAAGTGACAGAGCTAATGACTGCCCAGATTTGGAGATGGGCCTGGGAAGCAGCCAGCCAAGTGCTTTCCACCCTTAGCTCAGCTCTCTCTCTACTTAATACAACTGACTTCTCTTCTTCCTCTTCCTCCTTCTTTCTCTATTTCTTCTTTTCCTTCTTCTTCCTTCTTTTCTTCTCAAGCTCTTTCTAGGCTCAGCTCAAGCAAGCACTTTCTTCATCACTAAGCCATTGATCTCTGAAAATCTAAAGTCTGGTGTCTCTACGTCATCACTGTTACAGCACGTGGCAACGTGTGTTTTTAGGTGTGTTTCTTTAAGCTTCTGTGCCCCAGTGTAGGCAGAAAAATACAGTCTTCTGAGAGTTGACAGTCTGATGACTACATATTTCTATTTTCTGTCAAAATTCCCTCTAAGAAGTGCTACATTTGACTGTAAATACATGTAAAAGAGTACCAGTTCTAGTATCAAAAGCTGGATGAAAATCCTCATTCTTACCAGTTATGTGCCCTCAAAGGAAGTAATTTAATCTCTCTGGACTCAAGGTAGAGGATAAACTGTGAAGATAATATGAAATTATGAGAGTACAATCTGTGTGTGACCACCATGAACTGATGTGATTAACATAGACAATGGCTCATGCGTTTTTTTAATTTTTTATATTTTTATTAAATCATAGCTGTGTACATTAATGCATTTATGGGGTACACTGTGCTGGTTTCAAAATGTTTATGGAATTGTTAGACTGATGGATAAACAATAAGCTAAATCAATCTAGCTTTAGTTCATACCCTATATTGATGAAAAGCTTTATAGACTCTGCAAAATACCAACAGATAAGAATAAAGCTCTATTCTAAAACTCTAAAAAAAAAAGATGCCATGAAGTCAGATGTGTGAGCGTGCCCATCACAGTGGACTCACATTTGATGCAAATGAAATTCTTGTATGAGCTCTTCACTTAGCCATCCTTGTATTTCTCAGCAGGCTCCTGAGCTCCCTCACTCTCTCCCACCTATCCAAGTCCAAGATTGTATTTTCATCCCTTGTTTAACTTCCTGCCCTCCCAGCTCCCAGCTCTACAGTGGAGACATTTCCAGCTGACATTACATGAGTATCATTTATAGAAGCTCCTCAGAAGGAGACGTCTTGTCGCCAGCAAGACATCAATTCACAGAGTACACATTACTGTGGGGAGCTTTTCACTTCTACATGGGAAATCTGTCAAATGGAGACTAAATGCCTGTGTGGTTATTAGCAACACCCACCCTCTCCCCGCAGGAGCAGTCTGATGAATGAGAGGCACCGGGAGGAGGGCCTGCAGCTCAAGACAGTGTAATAAAGGCACAGGGAGACTTCCTACCTGAAATGTCCAAAAGAGAATGTGAAAACACATAAATCAGGGCAGCTATTTATATCCGGGTAGATTATTCTTTTAACAATGGATTAGGATTGAATTATTTCATACAGAAGTTTCCTTTTGTTCATTCGATGGTTTATCTGGGTTTATGTACAGGGGATGGAAAATTAAAATATTAGGAGTCCTTGACAATTGAAGCTGAAATTGCAGAGTCATAGCTGAAATTGCTATGAAATTTCAGCTTCAGAAGCTGAAATTGCAGCTTTTTAACTGATAGCTCAAAGAGCCATTGAAAATCATCCAAACCAACCCTGTCATTTTACAATCGAAAACCTTGATTTTTATAGTTTAACTTGTTTAAACCCACACACAACCAAATCTTGCTTGACTCCTCTGTAGACTTTATGTTTTATAAAGTTCTTATGTGTCAAAATACATTTTTGCCTTCATTGTTTTTCCCCATGAGATAGGTATTTGTGTTTTAGTTTTGCCCCTGAGGAAACCAAAGCTTTGAGAAGTTAACTTACCTACCTACCTACTGTTAGAAAGAGAAGCCGGATTTGAGTCCTCCCTGCTCGGTACTCTGTGAAAAGAACCATCTATTTTAGTAAATATCGATGAAGGGCTTATATGATGAATAAATCAGTTACAGACAGTCTTACATGGTGAGTCCCAGCAGTGTTGAAGGTACACTGGAGAATGTAAACAAATGTAAGACTATAAAATGCAATTCCTTCTTCGACAAAGCATACGAATGTGAATATATGTTGACTGATTTAACGCACTTGGAGGTTAGTGACTCAATGCTCAATAACTTTGCCGGCAGGAATTTTTCCTGAACCCCATGGCAAATGAATGGATCAAGCATATTTGTTTTCAGTCTTTATAGTTAGAGTTGGCTCTTTGAATGCTGCAGTGCACAAAGACAGCCAAGGCCTGGCCAATGTGAACTGGTCACAGGCTGCAGGAAAAGCATGACGTGAAGGTGATGAAGGAATCAGATAATTTTCCACGTTATTGGGAGCAGCTTTCAAATAGTGAAATGGAACAACGCACACACCTCTAGAGCAGTGATTTTCAACTGGTGCACTGAGGCACACTGGTGTGTTGTGAGAAGGTCTTAGGTGTGCTGTGAAAAATTTTAAAAATCATTAATTATGGGCCAAGCATGGTGGCTCATGCCTATAATCCTAGCACTCTAGGAGGCTGAGGCAGGTGGATTGTTTAAGCTCAAGAGTTTGAGATCAGCCTGAACAAGAGTGAGACCCCCATCTCTAAAAATAGCCGGGTGTTGTGGCAGGTGTCTGTAATCCCAGCTACTCGGGAGGCTGAGGCAATAGGATCACTTGAGCCCAGCATTAAGGTTGCTATGATCTATGATGCTGTGACACTCTATCAAGGGTGACAAGGTGAGACTCTGTCTCAAAAAGAAGATCATTAATTAAATTATTTTTGGAAGAAGTTCAAAGCATAGTATGTATATTTTGTTTGTTTGTTTTTAATCAACATAATTGGAGTGTACCATGAGATAAAAAAGATTGAAAAGCACTGCCCTAGAGGCATGATAGCTCAAAGCATTTGTCACCATTATCAAATAAGAGTAGAGAAAATAATAATTAGAACTCTTCAGAATGAGAAAGAATCCTGTGAGCAGGGACGGCTCCCTAGAGAAGGAGGGACTTGAGTCAAGCTATGAAAGGATAATATAGAAAGAGTCCAGAATTTCAAGATTCCTATCTTAGCTTCTAGTCCAAACTCTACCAATTACCAGCTATGAGACAGCCATAAGCCATTTATCTCTGAGACAATTTCCTCCTCATCAAAGTGGAGGTAATAGCACTGCTACCCCTTCCTCAAGGCTGGCATGGAGGTTGTAGGAGATAATGGGTGGGAAAGCATTCTCCAAATTGCCACATCTTTCTGACTATAGCATTGCTGTTGGTGAGAGTATTACAAGCAGAGCTGAATGGAGAGCCAAC